TTAGATTACTGTTCGCAAATAGTTAAGGATGTGGGCTGTTCTAGTTTTAGGGAAATGCGAAGTTTAGCTCAGGATAGGAAAGAGTGGAGGTACGTGTCCAACCAGTCTTAGGACTGATGACCTTATGATGAAACTTATTTTAAAATCCTGAAGACAAATTTGTGGTAATTTACTGTCTGTTGCTTTTCCTTTTTTCAACGACCCTTATATCCTGAATCGAACGGGTGTCCTCCAGCATGCCGAGCAATGGTCTCAACCTTTAGGTCATGTCGTTCGGTCTCAATGAACACGATTACTGAAATAATTATATCTCAAAAAAAGTCACTTCTTTGACGAGGAGTGATAAACAACAGCATATGCACCAAGTAGTCGAGGAAATAAATCACAAAAACAAGGCAAACCTTCGAAATTCGGATTGAGATGCGGTTTTCTGCATTCTATTCGTAAGACCATCTAATGTAAACTTTGTGAACATAAGAGATTCAAAAATGCTTCGGTGCATAAGAAAAATTTCGTCTTATAAGTACATTGCAAAGTTGTTACAAGAAAACTCGGTCAGTAATGATAGAAATAAGTCCAATTTTGTTACTCGTGGGTTTTGAGGGTCACTGAACAGGAATGTATAGTCGGCGGTGGCCTCCGAGAGCTACCTGAGACCCAGAACCACCGTCATATACTTGTCTCCAGGTGTTATGCTTTAAATTAATTAAAGATAATCATAAAATAATGTATTTGGGGGTTTGGTACATATTTTCTCTCTATAACTCGAAAAATTAGATTAGATTAGATAAAAATTATTTTACAGCCTCTATAACTCGATAATTCGAAACTTATTACGTCTATACTTCGAAGAAAACTAAGTTACCGACTTTAAGGATCTTAACCTCTACAAGTCGAATCAAAATCCGCCTAAGTCAAAATCCTGCATAAGTCGAAAACTGTGTAACTCGAATTTTTTGGCGTCACCCTTGATGTTCGAGTTATACAGGTTCTGCAGTTTATTGTTTTTTCCAGGGTGATGGTCAAATAATTAAACAACTTTCTGGTTTTGTTACGTTTCGGTTTATTTAACCATCTTCAGACTGAATTTTTTTTGTGTTTTATTAACTTATAGTTCTACTAGGTTAGGTATTATACATTTGTTATAATTGATAGTCAAAGAACATACGTTTTTAAGTGTTACTGCTTGTGTTTGGGTGTTTTTTTATGTGTATAATTTCTTTTATAATCAATTTTTATACTTACTTTCCCGGCCCAAAATTTCAAGTTCTTTGAATTTGAAATTGTGTTTGTTATTTAATGCATGTTCTGATAGTGCTGCTTTTGTTTTATCTATATTTTTTAAACTATATTGGTGTTCAGATATACCTTTTTTTGAATATTGTTTCGTTTGTCTAATGTAAGCTTGATTGCAATCTAGGCAATTTACTTTATATATTATACTTGTGTTGTCAGTTTTTGGTAACAGTGGTTTCAAGCTACTGAATAAAGTTTTAGATTTTTTCTTAGGCGTTTTATCGGCTATTGATATATTATATAGTTTTAAAATTTTATTTTTAAATTCAGAAATGTATGGTAATGAGACATAATTGTTGTTTTTTATATTTTGGTTTGCGCTTGAGGGACTGATTTGAATAAATTTTAAATAAATAGATCCATTTCTAGTACGTACACATCAGTACATTGGTCTTTCGTTTAATGCTTATACAGTTGGCAAATGAAATATTTATAACTGATAAGCAATACGTTTCTTTTTTTTTTCGTTTCAAAATAAAAGCAATCGTAGCAATCACAAAATACATTTCGGTAGTAAACTGATCACTGGTAATTTGGTGGTGGCGGCGCTTTCCAATTGTCTATACATTCGCGTATTCGATTGGGAGTGGTATCAATTTGCAACACACGCCGAACAACAATAAGCACACCTCGGGTATTACCTATTGTTCTATTTTACAAATGTACGATAGGTGTACTTCAGCATGGATACTTTAGGAATATTTCAATGTAGTATTTTGCTTTATTATTGAATCATCTTTTTGTTATAAATAATTCTTAAAACGTGCACAATGAAATAGGTAGCTTTGAATACCACTCTCAGTTTTGCCTGCTTTTTTGGGCTCTCAACAATAATTTTGTTTTTAGTATCTCGATAGACTATAATGTAATGACTATAATTAATTTATCGCAGTAATATTTGCAACCATTAAATGGCAAATCTGTCTGGGCAAATCCTTCCTGAGCAAATCCTGCCGGATGTAATTTTTAACAGAATTTTAACAAATTGGTCTGTTAATGGCAATAACCCTCATGTTGTTTTGTACGTTTATTGTTAACGAATTATACCCATAGAGTGCCCGTACCCTAATTGAGGTACCTCTGTACGAAAAGTAAATCCTACCTCCTGAAAACATGCCAGAAAAAGGTGACAGACCAAGTAATTGGAGCGCGCTCCCGCTGTCTCATCTTTGGCAATGTATAAGTATAATAAGCCTATGTAGTTTTGCGCTAAATGAAGTATCTAATTAAAGGTCTTGATAATATTTACTCGAAAAAACAATCCCGCCTCATGAAAACCTGCCGAAAAGGGGTGGCAGAGAATTGGATAATAATAAATATGTTATCAAATATACTACTCCTATTTTTTTGCAAAAACATTTCAGTATTTCGATGCCGAATTATTTGTCAGGCCCAGATTTCACGGCTGCAGACCTAAGGAACCATTATTCCCAGAAATATCCAAAATTCCTATGGATTATGAAAATAATCGACAAAAAACTGAGAAAGGCCCTAGACAAAAATTTTCAGTCTCTCTCCAGTCTCTCAGTCTTTCAGAGTTTTCAGAGTCCTTCAGCGTCTCTGAGAGCCTCTCTCACAATCTTTCACAATCTCTCAGTTATTGCCTAGGTGTTTTTATGGATCTCTCACCGTCTCTGTATGAGAGAATCGAACGATAAAATTATTAATTCAAAGATTCGGGTCTCTCACAGAGAGACTGAATGAATAAAACTGAAAATTTAAGAGACTCGAGTCTCTCGTAGAAAGACTGGAATCTCTGAAATATGTTGAACTTAGAAAATTTTAACCATGTCTATCGAGACACCACTTAGTGAGAGATTCGGCTCTCTCGTTCAGAGACTGGATACGAAATGAGGATCTCTCTATGAGCAACTGGAGTCTCTCGTTCAGAGACGCTAAACAGTTTTTTTGACAGTCTCTCTCAGCGACACCAGAGAGACTCGATGAGAGACGGAGACTCGAGTCTTGCTTTCAGAGACTCTGAGAGACTGAACATTTTTATCTCGGGGGAACAACTCGATTTTCAATACATTCTGCAATTGACTTTCTAATGTAATAATAATTCAATAAAAATTGTTTCCATCCTTGAATGAACGAAAATCGTAGATGTATACTGTATTTTTGCAAAATAAAAAGCGGGAACATTGACGTTGCACTCCAATTAAAAAGATGCGATAAATATTTTTTATTTATTTATTTTAGGGAAAACAAATTTCTTTTTAACTAAATAAATCGTTTGTTTTATTACTATTATATTGTTATTAAAATCTTACTTTTACTGATATTATCAGACTAATTTTCGGTAAATATGGTGTATTCCCTCCGTAGAATTGTAGGTGCATATATTTTCTATTACAAAACAGCATGGGAGTATTGCCGCTAATTTTTCACATTGTTTGCCACCTGTTAAAAGTCACTTCTGGTGCTCAGGCACGGTTATTAAAAACGCGTTTGTCTCTTTACTATTTCAATAACATATAAAAATCTTTTTTTTTTCAGGTTTAAATTGCACTCCTCCGGCCATCGACGATTTTCCTAAGGACTTATTTTCCGAAAAACAGAGGCAAGATGGAGCAGTCGTTATACACATTATTGTTTCACTTTATCTTTTCGTTGCATTGGCTGTAGTTTGCGATAAATTTTTTGTACCCGCTGTTGAAAAAATATGTCACGGTAAGTAAAAAATATATTATCGAACCATTTTCTAACATCAGATTATTTTTTTTCAAAAATATGCGTTAGTCGGAAGTGTTTTATGATATGAATATATAGGTAATTATAGAAAATTTGTGAGGGAAGAAAAGATAAAAGAAAGCTCTGGGGTTATTCCAAGTACATACTTAACTGCAGGTGGCTTCAGGCTTGTCTAAATGTTTTAATAACTAATTCAAAGACGTATTATTATAAATTTAATGATTTAGTTGCAAAATTACGGATTTTCTAATTAATTTAAGAAACTATTATAAAAGAAAAAAAGCAAACAAGAAAAGCCGATGTTAGTTTTTGGGACAACGTTTATATTTAAATGGCGATTTTTGACCAAAAAATTACACAATTGACATTTGAAAATGTAAAATGCAATCAAAGGTCATTAGATATTTTTCGTAGAAATGAGTCGTCTCGCCTATAGCTTTTATTAGCCTTCTTTTGCCATAGGGGTAGCTCATAAAATACGTTTACAAATAATAAGGAAGGGAGGGGTTTTGCTTAGCATGACGAGATATGGCACGGGGCGACAGTGTTCTAAAGATTATAACGTTCGAAGTTCATCAATTTTATTTTAATGTTTTTCTTAACTTGGCAGTTCTTAAAATTTCCTCATTCCCATCGCTATTTTTAATCACAGGAATAGGGGGGGGACCAGTTTTGTGACGTAATATTTGTATATTGACCGTTTTTTTTAAACGTGATGATATAGCAAGGAGTTAGAGATATAGTCTTAAATAAAATGGAAGAGGTATTGACAAAGCAGAGTTATATCATAATAAATAGATAAAAGAAATACAAAAATACTAATATGCAAGGGACGAAAGAGTAGAGAAAGAGTGAATGTAAAGATAGGAGACGAAAAATTAGAAATAGTGGCTGATTTTCGATATCTAGGAAGTTAAATAACTCAAGATGGAAGCAGCAGTAGAAATATGAAACAGAGAATAGCGAAGGCTCTAGTCGCCTTCAACAAAAATAACTCACTTCTATATGCTCACGAACGGTTAATTTAGAAATTCGAAAAAGATTGCTAAATGTGTATGTCTGGAACACGGCGTACGGGTGCAAAACATGAACGGTGGGTACGGTGGAAAAGGTTGGAAGCCTTCCATATACGGTGTTAAAGAAGGTTAGAAATGAGGAGGTATTACAAAAAATAGGGGAACAGAGGTCATGAAGGGCTAGTAAGACACTATTATAAACATAAACAGACCTAGATTGCATTTCTGTTCACAAATAGTTAAAGATGTGGGATGTTCTAATTGTAGGGAAATGCGAAGATAAGCTCAGGATAGGGAAAAGTGGAGGTGCGAGTCCAATCAGTCTTAGGATTGACGACCTCATGATAATTATGATGTTGTTTGACAAAATTTTTTTCATCTTTATAATTAGGAATTGTACAATTTTTTAAACTGAATTTAAATATGAAGCAATTTTAAAACCTAATCAATCATCTTAAATTTTATATATTTCCTATTTTGAATAAGATTTTTCCAGTTAAACGGTTTCTTACACAAAAAACCTTCTACGTATCCCGAATATAAAGTGGTTTCTGGCATATTTTTTCATGACTTCGAAAGAGTTTCTCCTTTGAGAATATGTGATATAATACCCACTTTTCCGGAAGTGCGAAGAGAAAAATGTTTTCTCATTTGCAACTTAAAGTATGTATTTTTCTTTTCAAAAATTACACTTTAAATCATGAAAGGGTAGTTATGGATCCTCAAATTGAAAATTGTTTCTAAAATATGAAAGGCAGTTCATATAAAATAAATAATAAATATGTTCTGCACTATCATAAGAATTGTACTTTAAATCCCCTCCGGGCATGGGCTCTGCTTGAAATACGATGAAATAGTTCTAAAAAATTCATAACTTTGAAGAACAACACACTAAATATCTCAATCCCAGCGTCAATGCACGACACTAATGGTCCAAAGTGCTTTTCGATAACAGTGTAACAGTATACCTGAAGATGGCAACTTTGTTAGCTATTTCGTGTGTTCTACAGCATCCTCAAATTTCACAGTTTTCTTGAATTTTGAAGAAGAATATAATGTAGGTATTTCAACTTAAGTTAATGTGCTTTACAAAGTTATTGTCTCCACTGTTTCCCCTTCGGGATCAGAAAAACCAAAATTCAGAATTTATTTAGCTCCAGATCTTTTGTTAGAATTGATACATCTAGTTCAAGAACATTATTCCAAAATTAACACAAAAAATTGAAACAATGGTCCCGAAAATAGCGAATGTTGATCAAAAATTGTCTCAATAAATAATTTTTTGTGAATTCATTCCTTCATCAAATCCTGTATCCGCTCTTGGTATCATGTTATATATAGTTTCTCTAGCGATGTGACCTTTAGTTTGACCGGCGCAAAGTAAAAAAGAACAGTACTAGGCCAGAAAAGAAAGGAGACAACACTCGGCCAAATTCTTAACCGGTGAGGAGCGTATAATCCGTACAGTACTGCACAGAAAAATTGACCATTTTATCCTCTAGAATTGCGTTGCTCAAATGTGCTATTATTGGTACCAATTACTACTGAAGATACCAACGAGATGTTTATTTAGATTTGAAGACATATTAAAGGCTTTAACGCTTGTTTTCGACTCGCACTACTATTCATGATTGAACAAAACTTTTGGCAAGTACTGTATGAAAAAGAATGTTTAATCAACAAGAGTCGAGAGTATAATGAGCTTTTTTCTCCCTACTACGATTTTGCCAGCGCGCATCCAAGACATCGGAAGGGGCACATCGCTAGAGAAAGTAAATGAAGTATATCATGTATGTATTTTTCTACCAATGCTTTATTATCAGTCAGGTATTCTAGTTGCACAATGCGTCCATATTTTTCCAATTTAAGATTAATTTTCACTATACATTACATAAGTATTCCGTAAATTAAATTGACAAATTCATCCTAAAGGTGCAGTCATGAGTGAACGGCGTGCAAATACGCGGCTAAAGTTAGTGTGAATAGAAAGACATTTCGTATCAGTTCATTTTCTACATTAAGTCTACAAAATTCAGTTCAAAACAAGTCAAAAATTGTTACAGTACCAATCGATGTTGTTAATGCAATGGCGGTGATTTGCTATCTTACAGAATTTTAACCAGACGATCCCTAGACAAAAATTTTCAGTCTCTCTCCAGTCTCTCAGAGTCATTCAGAGTCTTTCAGCGTCTGTGAGAGCGTCTCTCACAGTCTTTCACTGTCTCTCAGTTATTGCCTAGGTGTTTTTATGGATCTCTCACAGTCTCTGTTTGAGAGACTCGAACGATAAAATTATTAATTCAGAGATTCGATTCTCTCACAGAGAGACTGAATGAATAAAACTGAAAAATTGAGAGACTCGAGTCTCTCGTAGAAAGACTGGGACCTCGAAATATGTTAAACTCGAGATACCACTTATTGAGAGATTCGAGTCTCTCGTTCAGAGACTGGATACGAAATGAGGATCTCTCTATGAGCGACTCGAGTCTCTCGTTCAGAGATGCTAAACAGTTTTCTTGACAATCTCTCGACAGTCTCTCTCAGCGACACCAGGGAGACTCGATGAGAGACGGAGACTCGAGTCTCGCTTTCAGAGACTCTGAGAGACAGAACATTTTTATCTCGGGATGCTTTACGCCTTTTACGCTTTCACCAACTACTTAATTATTTATAACAATTAGGTACTAGTTTGTTTCAACGGTTTCAAAAAGTCACAGATTGATTGATTTTTTGAAAAGCTTTTTGAATGAGGCCTAACAATTGGTTTATGACATTGGTTGGTGTAATATTTTATGGAAAGTTCGCCAGAATTAACCACAAGATTTCCCACTTACCACAAGATAACACATATTAGCTTGATCAATAAATCCATTCATCAGTAATCCTCTCCATCCATATATTATGAATCCTTTTTTTTATATGCTCTTCCTCGTCCAGAATAATACCGACATTCAATAAATCTTCCTAAGGTCCCAATATACCTACTTGCAATCAATTTCGCATTATCTGCTTCTATAGTCCACATGTGCGGAATGGAAACACTACGTTTAAATGTGAATATTAGATTGTACGGAACGTTTGCAGAATGGATATGGAATGATAAGGGAATGAGTAATGAGAACTGACGTTTAATTGTTTTTTGTTTTAGGGAGAAAATTGAATCTTATTGGTACTCATATTTTATCATTATTTTTCTTATTTTTGATTAAGTATTTGTCACTCACTTTTCTAAATCATTTTGATTAGGAAGCTCTTCGTGAGAACTATAGGATCCCTTTGTAACATTTAAGTGCATGTTCGATATGTCTAATTAATTTTAATTGGCCACAATGAAAAACGTAATTTGTCTCCACCGAAGGATGACACCTTTTGGTGCGTTTTAGTTTTTTTAAACGTATATATGTGGATTTTTGAGTTGTATTTGTTTTTTTTTTCTTGGATCCACCCTAGATCCAAAATTCTGTGTATACTCCGATAAAAAAGCCTACACATTTATGTATCTAACGCTTTAGATATACTTCAAAAGATTGTTTCTTCAAATTGATACATTTTTCTTATACTTATCTGAAAAGCTGATTGTAGATATAAAAGATTTTGTTATACATATTCGAGAACGTTTTAAAATTCATTGCGGTAGTATTACGAAATAATAAAAGTGCCTGAGAATCGTGCTGCAGTAAACTTACAAATTACATTTCCGCATCTTAAAACGTATACATATATATACGAGGTCTATTCAAAAAGTACCGCGAATTTTGTGATTTTTAAAAATTATTTATTAACTCATGAATATCCACTTTGTCCACTTTATAGTAATCCCCAAAAGATATTATACACTTGTGCCAACGTTTTTTATAATCCTCGAAGCACGTCAAAAAAAAATTTTTTTTTGATCTTGTTCAACTCATGGGCCTCTTCAGTTTCGGGAAAAAGACAAAGTCACAGGGTGCCAGATCTAGGGAATACGGTGGCTACGGCATTATTAGTGTGTTGTTTTCGGCCAAACAATCGCGAATAAGCAACGATGTGTGAGCTGGGGTGTTATCATAGTGCAAAAGCCAATTTTTGTTCATCCATGGCGGATTACTTCGCGCAAAACCTGTAGGTAATATTCCTTATTGACCGTTCTACGCTGTGGCAAGAACTCACGATGTACAATGCCCCTGCAATCGAAGAAAACTGTAAGCAAAATATTCACATTCGACCTAATTTGGCGCGCTTTTTTCGGTCTTAGCTCGTGCGGCAGCTTCCATTGGAATAATTGAGCTTTGGTTTCCATATCATAACTATAAACCCATAATTAGTCACCAGTTGTGACCCTCTCGAGCAAATTTCGATCGCCGTTGATAGAGTAAAACAGCTCCTTCATGCGATGCTGTTTTTGTTCGAAATTGAGCAATTTTGGTACGAATTTCGCGGCGACTCGTCTCATGTCCAAATAGTTGATAAAAATCGAATGCCAATCGACATGTTTAGGTTATTATTAGATTATGTTTCAGTGAGACACATGAGTATCAACATAACGTAACAAAAAAATCAAAATTCAAAATACGCGATACTTTTTGAATAGACCCCGTACGTAAACCAGCGCTCCGTGCTTTCACAATTTCTTTTTACTNAACGTGTGCTTTTGTAGCAAGCAGAAGTAGACCCTTCAGGAACAAGACTCTTCTACTTCCACTTGCAACAAGAATATGCGTACAATGGTTACTCTAGATAAAAGCGTTAGAAATTTTGCAGATTTTGAACCAAATCATGCACTATGTATTGGGTGCCAGATCTAGGGAATACGGTGGCTACGGCATTATTAGTGTGTTGTTTTCGGCCAAACAATCGCGAATAAGCAACGATGTGTGAGCTGGGGTGTTATCATAGTGCAAAAGCCAATTTTTGTTCATCCATGGCGGATTACTTCGCGCAAAACCTGTAGGTAATATTCCTTATTGACCGTTCTACGCTGTGGCAAGAACTCACGATGTACAATGCCCCTGCAATCGAAGAAAACTGTAAGCAAAATATTCACATTCGACCTAATTTGGCGCGCTTTTTTCGGTCTTAGCTCGTGCGGCAGCTTCCATTGGAATAATTGAGCTTTGGTTTCCATATCATAANTTTGATCTTGTTCAACTCATGGGCCTCTTCAGTTTCGGGAAAAAGACAAAGTCACAGGGTGCCAGATCTAGAGAATACGGTGGCTACGGCATTATTAGTGTGTTGTTTTCGGCCAAACAATCGCGAATAAGCAACGATGTGTGAGCTGGGGTGTTATCATGGTGCAAAAGCCAATTTTTGTTCATCCATGGCGGATTACTTCGCGCAAAACCTGTAGGTAATATTCCTTATTGACCGTTGTACGCTGTGGCAAGAACTCACGATGTACAATGCCCCTGCAATCGAAGAAAACTGTAAGCAAAATATTCACATTCGACCTAATTTGGCGCGCTTTTTTCGGTCTTAGCTCGTGCGGCAGCTTCCATTGGAATAATTGAGCTTTGGTTTCCATATCATAACTATAAACCCATAATTAGTCACCAGTTGTGACCCTCTCGAGCAAATTTCGGTCGCCGTTGATAGAGTAAAACAGCTCCTTAATGCGATGCTGTTTTTGTTCGAAATTGGGCAATTTTGGTACGAATTTCGCGGCGACTCGTCTCATGTCCAAATCGTTGATAAAAATCGAATGCCAATCGTTATGTTTAGGTTATTATTAGATTATGTTTATGTGAGAGACACGAGTATCAACATAACGTCACAAAAAAATCGAAATTCAAAATACGCGATACTTTTTGAATAGACCCTGTACGTAAACCAGCGCTCCGTGCTTTCACAATTTCTTTTTACTGCCAAAGTTCGCAATTTGTGTAATTTAATTTCTCGAGCACAAAGAAATTCAACCATCATCTGCTTAATAAAATCTGTTCACTCATACATTGTTTCCGCTAGAAATAAATGGAAGATGATTTTATCTGTTTTACGTTTTTCTCATTCAGCACTGAATATGTCAAAGGATGTGGCAGGAGCGACGTTTATGGCCGCAGCAACTTCTGCTCCGGAGTTATTCGTGAATGTAATTGGAACCTTTATTACAGAAGGTGATATTGGAATAGGAACCATTGTTGGTTCAGCTGTATTTAATATACTGGCAGTAGCTGCTTGTTGTGGATTGGGAGCAGGCATGGTAAGCTTTGATAACATCATTATTTGATGTAAGAGAGTATTTTTATAGTTTTGAGTGCTTGTAGGTACTTATACAGTCAGTGCAACAATCAACATTAACTGTCTTTTGTAGGACCTTTAAAATTTCATAGTATATATAGGGTTGTTCTGAAAGTCATTTCGTTTTTTCCCGACAGAGGATTTAATTGTATTCTTTTGTACCCAACTTCACATTTAAGCCGTATAATTTTTATATGCTTTGACACCTCATATAGCAAGGCTTGTGTGTGAAAAATTCCAATTAATTCTACGCAGTAGTTTTTGGTTGGTGCCCTTTTAAATATGGAGAGCGATAAGCAGCATTTTCGACATATCTTACTGTTTTACTACAGAAAGGGTAAAAATGCTGTTCAAGC